TATTAAATTGAACTAAAGACAAACACAGTCTCTTCAGCATGATGTGACCTCGAGGAGAAAATGAAATCAGAAAGTCCACAGCAGTTCCTCACCATAATATCTGAAAGCAGGTAATAATTTGAGAAAAGAATGACAGAGCATGCTTGTTTCTGCTTCGGCAGCCATCACGGGCGTTTTACAACCAAACGTTGCCTCGCTCGGTTTTGCAGGTGAGAAACTGTCAACAGCGCTCTTTGCCGGATAGTTGGAAGAAAACCAATATCTTGTAAAAAGAAACGTGATGATTAAAATGCATGTGACACAAGATTTTGATATTCGCCTGCCTTGCAAAGTAGCAGAAAGAAAATCACAGGGATTCTTAGAAAAGGTGTTTTTTTTCTGAGGTTACATGATGTGCCAGCTGTGAGCTTCATGCTGTAAATGAATCAGTTATATCTTCATCTACAGCTAAAGGACTCTGTGATGTCACATGTCAACATATAGAAAACTACAGATTACTTAATCTGCATCCTTCTCCTGTTTCCTACCCCTCCCCAGAAATGGTGTAACATTTTGCTAAATTCATTCAGAAATCATTCATGTAATTTAAGTAAATAAATAAGATGTCCTCACATTTGATAATAATGATACTCAGAGGAGTTCATTGTTGACTCAATCACTATAAAGGTCCAAAACATGTTCAGATAATCAGCCCTCCACCAGCCTGCTTGACACTTGGCACATGGTGTTTATGCTGATATGAAGTTTTTGGTCTCTAAGTGTGGGACTGTGCATTACATCCAAACATCTCCACTATATGGTCTCATTTGTCCAAAAGACATTGCTCCACAAGTCTTGTGGTTTGTTCGGATGCAAATTTGCCATCTTCCTTTAGAGCGAAGAGGCTTCTTGGCAACAGTCCCAAAAACACCATACTTGTTCAGTCTTTTCCTAATTTTACTGTCATGAACTTTAACATTTAACACGCTAACTGAGGCCTTTAGAGAGTGAAATGTAGCTCTTGGGTTTTTTTACTAATTCTCTGAGCATTGCTCAGAGAAAAGTCTGACTTTGGTGTGAATGTGCTGGGGCATCCACTCCTGAGAAGATTAGCAACTGTCTTGAATGTTGTCCATTTGCGAATAAACTTTCCTACTATAGAATGATGAACTTCAAATGTGTGGACATGGTCTTATAACACTCCCCAGACTGATGGAGAGTAACAATCGCTTCTCTACGATCTGTCTTTCCTCCTAAACACATTCAAACAAGCAATATAGTTAATCTGCGATTGTATTAACCTAACTTCAAGATCTGTGAAGGACTGGGTTATTATTATTTTTGAGTGATGTTTTGATGTGTAAAATCTCAGAATAGCAGGGACATCGGTCGGGAGCTGCATGTGAAATCTGTCTTACTCAAGTCATTCTCTTAAGTATTGAAAATTGGTTGCCATCATGCCAAGAGCTAAATAACCCTCTGGGACAAGTAAGAGATTTCAAAAGATATTTTTCTACAATAAAAAAAAAAAGATCTACAAGAGCTCTCAATTTTAAGCAAATGCCAATTTGCCAAAGAATGGCTGTCCCAGCAAATTAACTCAAAGAGCTTCCTGTCAGACGCAACATAATTCTCCAAGAAACCCAAATTTTCATTACAGGATCTTTAGGTCAGTTGTGCAGCTGTAGCCATTAAACTACTGGGGAATGGTAAATGGCCTGTATTTGTATAGCGCCTTACTAGTCCCTAAGGACCCCAAAGCGCTTTACACATCCAGTCATCCACCCATTCACACACTGGTGATGGCAAGCTATTGTAGCCACAGCCACCCTGGGGCGAACTGACAGAGGCGAGGCTGCCGGACACTGGCGCCACCGGGCCCTCTGACCACTCTGACCACCACCAGTAGGCAACAGGTGAAGTGTCTTGCCCAAGGACACAACGACCGAGACTGTCCAAGTCGGGGCTCGAACCGGCAACCTTCCGATTACAAGGCGAACTCCCAACTCTTGAGCCACAATCGCCCAATGCAGTTAGCTTGCTAATGAACAAAAGCAGGGTCTTTGGAATAATGTGCTCTAAACAGTGTGTTTAGCCACACTAACAACAGAAAAGTGTGTTGCAAGCCAAATATAGCTTACACCAACTGTTAAGCATGGTGGTGGAAATTTTATGTTTCAGGGTTGCATTACTGCCTCGGGGACTGGGCAGCTTGCTGTTATTGGCTCAATAAGGAATTTTTCATTGTATCAAAAAGTGTCTGAAGATAATGTGAGGCCATCTGTCCAAGAGCTGATGCTGAGCTGGAAGGAGACCTTTTCAGCAGAATAATGATCCTACAAGCGCTGGCACATTTACCAAGGAATGCTTCAAAAAGAAGAAATTGAGGGTTACGGAATGGACTGGTCGAAGTCTAGATTAAAAATCGTATTAAATATTGTATATGAAACAAGACGTGCAAGGAAACCAAGAGATAAAATAATGAGGGTACTCAGAAGAATAGATCTGTTCATATTTCTGTTGTATAAATTATAGATGGAGCTAATTTTCTTTGTGCTTTTTAAATATGTCGTTTTAAACTGTAGTCACTGACTGGTGTGTTTGCTCATTTAAAAATGTTTCATGAATTTTCTTACAATGCAGGTGGAGCTTCTCAATATATATGTACAATACAAAGGAGGCCATTGCATTAAACGTTTCTTCCAAATCCAGAAAAAAACAGATTTATTTGCCATCACTGGAAATCCTGAGATTGGCAGTCAACTCTGAAATAAACTTTAAAGAATGCAATCCCTGCCTTCTTTACAACCTGAGCTAAGAGTGCCGGGTTGGTGACATGCTGAGTTTCTAATGACTGACAGAAAAGTTGTCAGTGTAGCGTCAGCTGTTAAATATTCAGCGTCCATCAATCACCTGTTTCATTATAGCTGCACACCTCAACTGCTCATGAGAAAGTGGCTCCATTGTCATCTTTATCTAGTTCACCACTGACCCACTTTTTGTTACTACCTACAAATAGTCAAGCTTAAAAAAATATCAGGGAATTCTAAGCAGTAAAAGTGTTTCAGAGGGGGAAGTGTAGGGTAAAAAAAAAGTTTAAACAGGAAAAAAAAATGCTAAACGAGGAAGGAAGGGAAATAGTAGTAAATATTGGAAAGACTGATGTCCAAGAACGAGGCGGATTGGTTGGATGGATGCACTGTGAAAGAGAAATCTGATCAAACATTCAGTGGGTGTAGGCTTGTAAAAGAAATCCTTTCCAATGAAGAATGCACTGAGCCAGGAATTTATTCATAGATGCATTTATAATGCATGCCCACAGAATGAATGACTTCCCGTAGCACATGTGTGCACGTGCGTGTGACTTACACATACATGTTTGTGCAAAACTGCGAGTGTGTACATTGCATTTGCGGTGTGTCAGGGAGACAGAACAACTGCTGATTGATGAGACAACGTTTGTTTTAACGAGCCTCTGGAGTGGCTTCACCTTGAGAAAGATTTGGTTGCTCACTTTACAGTGCTTCTACTGCTGTCTGGAGATATCTGAGGCATACACCATCAGTCTATTGCTCGCATTCGTGTGTGTATGTGTGCTTGTTTTGTGTGTTTACCTTTCTGTGTTTTGCTTGTGCATTTTTCTTTTTGTATAGCAAGTGTGAGATTTGGTGCCCCTGTCTACGAGAACAGCAGAGGGAAAGCTAAGTGATAGGGTGTGGGTGTAACTGGTTGCTATAAATTAATGTTGAAGCATTATTTCAATTATCCTGACCTACTTAACCACTAAACCAATAAATCTACATGTCTAAGAAACCTTAACAGCCAGAAAAACAACCGAAAAAACAGAAATGTTATATCATATCTTGCTATACATCTCATACAGACATGAGAACTGATGTAGATGTTTCAAATTTTCAAAATCATTCATGTCTACCTTTGAATGGCAGCATGATAAAGACACTGGGATACGGGTTAATCCACCACAATTCTGTACTTTCTTAAAGCAGGACTACACCTGCTAAATCAATGAAGCATGTAAATGTCAGACTATTAATGCTTCATTAAACTAAAGCACGGGTCGTTGACAATAGTGCAGATTTGCTTCAGGGGTCCCCGACATTTTAACATTTTTAAATTTTACATATAACGCCACATGTAAACACAATATGACAGCACAGCAAGCTTTTGAATGTGATTTGTTTTGCCATCTTTAATGAAAAACACAGCTGTTCTGTTGCGTAGTTATTAAATTTGACATCTTTTCGCTGTCCTTATAGCATGGATAGTGCAGGTAAACTTAAAGGAGAGAGAACAGCAGTTATTTCCTCTTATATAGTAAAAAAAATGAAAAAAGAAATAAATCAAACTGTCAGGTTAAATTATTTATAATTGTTCAGGTTTCCTTAAGAAACACTGGGACTACCTTGGAGAATTCCCATTTGAGAGCACAAAGAAGCGCCATTTCCACGCTTGGCCTCTAGGGGTCACCATAACAATCACGAGCCGCTGTTCATTCCCCTCTCTGCACGCATCCTTCCCTCTCGTTGACTGTTTACTCCATCAATGGCGGAAGCGGATTAAGTCTGTGAGTGTATAAAGGATTTCTTTTAAAGTAAAGCACTGATAGCTTCACAGTGTGAAGTCAGAGTGTTTATGTGTCGCTTTTGTTGAAGTCGGACTGTTGTGTCTGTGACGGGAGGACTTCTCTTCGTCACGTGTTGCACGTGAAGTGGGAGAAATGCTTGTGGAAATGAATGAACGATCTTTAGGTCGAGCACTTAAGAGAAGGGCTGTGTTAATATGTGACAAGAGCTAATTTTCTTTGTCGGTTAGTATTAAAGAGGTAACGAGACGATGCAATGTACTTTCATTGAGTCCAGAGTGTGTATGGAGTATTAAAGAGAGAGAGAAATGAGGGAGAAAGACAGGAAAACTGCCCACTATTAAACAAGAAATCCATTTTAGAAAGAGAAAATAAAAAACTGCCTGCACTATATCTTTGAGAGTCCACGTGAGGGGAGGGTCTGATCGTTATCGAGGGCTAGCTGTTAAAGGTTCAGCTGAGTTCAGAGTACTATAATGATCATTAAACCCTGCTGCACTTGGTTTTCTTTCGTAGTTTGCTCTGCTTTGGTTGCTAAAGCTGGAAGGTGAGCAGATCCAGGTGAAGTATACATTTGTTTTAGTGCTGTCATCAGCTGGTTCGTGAGGTTTTAGGCGTATTTAGCCTTTTTGGTCGTTTATATGCCCTGGTTATCTACAGGGTTGTTGCTTTCTTTTTTCATATAAAGTACAGTTTACAGAGTCACAGCTTTTAATTTTCCTTTAATGAATCTGTCATATATTATGACCTTCAAACATTCCAACCTGCCCAAAAGATATTCAGTTTGCTGTCACATCAGATATGCAAGAGCCACACATTTGAGAAAAAGGGTTGGGTGTTAAGATTTCTGTTAATAGATTAGTCAATCATTAACTACCTGGGCTCCATTTTTAACTTTAGTTCCTCTCTAGTATACAGATGGTGTTATATTTTTCACAGGTATTGTGTTTGATTCATTGATTAATTTAATCAGCAAGAACATTTAAAAAAAAAAATCATCACATCAGTTTGTCATTGTTGTTAAACCAGAAGATTATTGACATGAACAAGAAGACTGAGGCAAATTTGCTGACAATTTTGACAGTAGGTTTTTACATTTTCAGCCAAGTCCACATGACCCATCAGTCAAAGAAGACAGATATATTAGCAAAGAAAAATAGTTATTAGTTGCAACCCTGTTGTGTCGGTATTGTGTCTTGAAACATGCGTGTAAACCTTGAAGTTGCATAGCTTGTGGTGGTCAGAGGGCCCGGTGGCGCCAGTGTCCGGCAGCCTCGCCTCTGTCAGTGCGCCCCAGGGCAGCTGTGGCTACAATGTAGCTAGCCATCGCCAGTGTGTGAATGTGTGTGTGAATGGGTGAATGACTGAATGTAGTGTGAAGCGCTTTGGGGTCCTTAGGGACTAGAAAAGCGCTACACAAATGCAGGCCATTTACCATTTTACAAATGCAGCTTCCATGTGGATGTTTGTATTTTTAATCAGTTTTCTTGTTTTAGGGAGAATTAATAGTTCAGTACAAGCCCGGTCAGAGGTAGACATTTAAATGACTTTCTTTCTTTGTCGGCTTACAAGCAAAGAATAAAAGTAGAAAACAGACGGACAAAAGGAAGAATAGCAGCAACATATGCCCTGTTCTCCTCAAGTCCAAGTGAGTCGACTGATTGAAGACAGGCTGCTGTGGATCCTAGCCATGGATGAAAAGATGACACCTTTGGACTGCCTGCTGCCCTCAGGTACTGCCTTTCAAACTCACATTCCCTCACCAGAAAAACACATGCACACAATCAATCAAATCTGAAGGTTCATGCACAGATGCATATGTCTTCTTTTTTTCAGTTGTTGTTGTTGTTTTGTCATACACAAACTATACTCTTGCGTGGGGCACCCACCCACACACAGACGATCTCAATGCATCTGATCAAAATTCACGCTTACTCGCATCACTGTCACACTTGTCTTCCTCCCTCTGCTTCTCCCACTCACTCCGACACACGGTCTTTGGGGAATTAGAACTCAAAAACAAATCACTTGCACTTTCATGACAACAGTGTACATATGTATGAGACATGCCTTCCCTTCTCTTTTGCTGAAAGGGGTTTTTGATGTTTTTGCTTTAAAGGGGTGGTTTAATTAAGTTTGATCTTTCTAAAATCTAATCATCTTTTTTGCGTCTGAATGAAATGCCTGACATCACATAAATTCTCCTTGTTCCAACAAAACATTTTAGATCCATATTAAATGTGTCTAAGTTCAGTACATAGCACATTTATTATCTCATTTCCAAAGGCAAGCTAACACGTTACAATAGAATTCATTACCCTAACGATAATCTGACATGTCCTGTACCCAGTGATGCTCCTAAAAAAGAAACTCTCCAGATGGCTGGCTGCCCTACAGACCTGAGAAGGAAGCTGGTTATATCTGCCTTTAGCCACTGCTCTCAGGTCAAGGTTTATGTGAGCTCTCTGGTGGTATGAGCTTCGAGGAAGGAAAGCTGATGTGAGCCGAAGGGCAGGTTATTACCAGACCTGTAAAGGTCAACGGGATCGTACAACAGTTTGGCCTGTAGAACAGACAGCAGACACTTGTACTTTCCTCAGGCTCGAGTTACATTTATTAGTTCCATGTAATTCCTGACAACTGTACTCATTTTATTAGCTAAAATCTAATGCAGTCAGCTGCAACAGCTCTTCTGTGAATTCCACTATTAATACCGTGCTTTGACCTAACCAGGAACACAAAGTAGAATAATCCACCTTACTGACCACATGAACAGAAATGGAAAAGAAGCTTTGCAAAAGTTGGGTACTGTGCAAAAGTCTCGAGGGTTCCCCTCATTTCTTCATGTTTTGCATCCAAGGAGCCAGCCATTTTTTTTACCTACCTAAAGAATGAATCAGTGTTGTGTCTACACATAACACACACATTTGTTTCCATTTGTTTAGTTCAGTCCATGAAAAATGCCAAAGATAACTCAGTTTGACAGACATAAAATAATATTTTTGCCTTAACAAGGTGAATTCCAAAAAGCTATTAAACATAAACTTGGCATATTACAGCATGGTGTGCGGTTTGCTCTTAAAAAGTTTAAGGAAACTGAACAACTGAAAGCCAAAATTAAGAATTGTCATGGCTCTGTCATGGTTTGAGCTGCCTTTCATTCAGTAGTGTTTAAGATCTTGTCGAAACTGATGGAAATAGGGATGTACAGTCAGATAACATACAATACCCAATGGAAAATATGTTATGTAGAAGCCGGGACCTCAAAATTATTGGAGCAGTGTGGGATCACCTTGACAGAGCAGAATAAAAGCCTTTTGAAACGACCTTCAAGAAGCCGGGAGAAAGATTCACGAAGACTACTTAAAGAAGAAAGCTTGCCTAAGAGAGTTCAGGCTGTTTTGAAGAATAAAAGTCATCATGGCAAATATCAACTTTCAAGTTAGTTTGATTTGTATTCACCTTATACTGTGTTTCGATAAATGTTTGCTGCATCTGTTTCAGTGAACCACGGATTACTTTATAAAGCAACGTATAACATAATGGAGTAGAAGAGTATATTTCGGGTCATTGGTGGTGAGTTAATACATTTTATGAAAATTTGACCCAGGTTAGAAATATTATTCTTCCACAGAAAGATATGATAAAATGTTATATCCACGGTATGCTGAGCACTGTCTGAGGTCTGGCTTTTCTCATTCTTTCTGGATTCCTTGGCATCTAACTATCACAGGCACACACTGTGTGTAGTTTTACTGATAAGATGAATCTGAGGTCTGAGTCCTAGAAAAATCGTCTTGGTGCTCTGTGGCATTTGTTGCATTCTTGGAGTCATTTCTTGAAATGTTGTCATTTTTTTTTAACCACTCTACTCCAACCTGCTACTGTTTGGATAGCTATACTGCTGGTCTCTCTTCTTGTGTATGCCTCACAGTTCATAGAGTGGAATGTAAAAAATGCATTACCAAATAAGAACGTGGACTAAGAAAAACAAGCTGGGATGTCAAGAACTGTTTTCAAAAAAGCGCTACTGGGTTTATTTTGTATGAACGTGAAATTCTTAGCAATAAGGTAAGAGACAGAAGGAAATGAAGGTTTAACTGAACATGGGAACATTTTGGGAACAGTTTGCTATAAATGAGTTGATATTAATTGAATAAAGCAACAACAACAACAAAAACCTGTTTGCTTGCCTCTGTTCATCAGTTACTGTGTTGGCTCTAGGCTGAGCATTTATTAATGCTAATGTTACGATTAAGCTGCATGCTTATAGTTTGTCTCGCAGTTATATTGAGAGTGGGCTAAATATAGGGATTTAAATCAGATCATAAAATATAATCACAATCTCAAGCTTGTACTCAATTGAGCTAAAGTAATTAGTAAGTTAACTTTAATTGACTTGCGTATGACTGAAAACAACAATTATGATATTTACAGAAGTTGTTTTAAAAGTGTCTTATGATAAAGAGCTGTGCACTCACAAGCCACTTCATTAGGTACACCTCACTAGTACCAGATTGGACCCCCGTTTGGATTCAGAAATGCTTTAATTTTTCAGATTTGTCATCCATGATGTCAATCTCCCGTTCCACCACATCCCTTCGGTGCTCTATTCGACTGAGATCTGATGATTGTGGAGGCCATTTGAGTAGAGTTGAGTTTTGTGACAGGATGTCTTATTCTGTTGGAAGCATCCATCAGAAGATTGGTATACACTGGTTATTAAGGGATGGACTTGGTTGGCAACAATACGAGTCTGTGGTGTTTAAACAATGTTCGCTTGATACTAAGTAGTGATCAGGCGTCTCATCAGACCCAGACCAGGCAGTGTTTTTAATGAACTTCTACTGTCTAAACTCCCTTCAGTCACATTTCTTCTTCATTCTGATGTTCAGTTTGAACTTCAGCAGGTCATCTCGAATGCCTGACTTGATTAGCTGATTCGATATTCATGTTAAGAAGCTAATATAGTGGGCAATGAGTGCATATTCGCAGCTTTCTGCCTTTCAGCACGTACTCGCTGTTTCTCTCCATTAAACTGACCCAGTTTGTAGTTTTGCCATTGACATACGAAATAAATAATTTGAAGGCACTCTTTCAACTTGCGATGGTCTCCAATGAATTATCTAGCATATTTGATCAAAATATTTATTACATTAAAGCACATTTGAGTCACATCTCATTTATTGTTGTCTAAAGCACTACAATCATCTTGTTCAACTGCAGAGGCGTACTTTTGCTGCATGCTTGTGTGCACAGGGTATGTTTGTATATACTTGACATTCTCACACACGTGCATTATTTGTGCAACGCAGGAAGACGGAACTGCTGTTGATTTTCTATTTGTGTACAGCTTGAAAATCAGTACCACACGGAGACCGACATCAGTCAAGAGACACTCACTCATGTCAGGAAGCTATCAGCAGTTTTGAAGCATTCATTGAAACAAATGTTTACTCAAGCATGTTAGATAAGCGTTACAGGCTGCAATGTTGCATTTGCTCACTGTACAAATCCAAGATTTAGGCTAGAGATTTCTCTGGGTGTGCAAATAATCCGCAGAATGATGCAGAAGCAACAAATCACATACACCCCCGGTGTTATAATTTTGTGGATAAATTTGTCACTTGCTATTAAAGGTGAAAGATGTGCCTGAGATTCCCAGCATCATACATTTTTTTTATTTATTTATTTATTTTTTACCCAAGTGCACAGTATAGCGATACACTTTTAGGATATATTTATATGGCTTCCTTAGTTTAATCTCTTGGAGGAAATGCTTATCTAGACTCTCTGAGGAGGATATAAGAACAGCCCCTGGATGTCTGCATTTTAAAATCCCTAGTGTGCACAGTTAGCCTTTTAAATTTCATCATTTTAATTATAAATACTTATTTCTGGAATATCTTTGTGCTAGCTTATGTGTTTTGGATACTCTGTACGTGTGCGCGCGCGTGTGCATGCGTGTTTGTAGTATTTATGCTGTCTGGCACTTTTAAGAGAATCCCAAGGTGACATTTCTTTGAAACGGAGTGCAGGAAAGGCCACGCGCCTCCTCTTGTGTGTGTCTGTTTGTGTGTGGGGGGTGGGGTGGGAAGGTGAGTGTTTGTGTGTCGAAGGGTTATCTGAAAAGTCAAGGCTGGTTGAGTTTGCCTTTTGTTCTCTGTACACCTCCAGCCAATTAAGAGACAAGACTGACAAATCTTCTCCTCCTCTTTCTCCCCCTCACCTACCCCCGCCCGTGCATCGTCCTCTCTTTCCCCCCTCCTTTGTGTCGCCTCTTTATCCTCTCTTCCTTTCCTCGACTTTTTACCATAGCCGGCTGGGGTTTGGCTTTTGGATTGGAAATGACCTTCTAGTGATGTGAACTTTTTAACAACATCAAGCCCACTGCTGCAACAAAGTCACAAACCCAAAGGACGTTTTATTTCTCCACACTTTCTCAGCCAAGCCTAAATGCACTTTTTACACCTGAGGGTCCAAAATCCCCCCCAAAAAAGAGCTTTTTTTCCCAGGTGATGCACATTTTGCTGTGAGAAATTGATGATGAAACCTGAAGTGTATATATATATATTTTCTTTCTATGCTTTTGCATTTTTCCTCCATACTGGGGAAACTGGGGATACAGGCTTTACTGGATATTTCTTGTTTTGCAGTTATGGAATTTACATAAATTCGCTTTAGGAGAGAGTAATCACAAGGTGGTGTTTCAAGTTGCAGATAGCATTTTGGCTTTGTTATAAAAGAAAGCCTTAAACATTGATGGGAAAGCATTTATAAGAGCAGACATGAGAGCGAAAGATAAATGAGCATGAAAAGTGCGATGGTGAGGAGAAGAAAGGTTGTGCTTTAGTCTTTGGTCCATTAAAGCTTTTCTAGCAGCTCTGTTTTTACTTTGTCAATGAATGTTTCCATTTTTTCCCCATTTCCTGCAGATAGATAAATGACAATTCTAAAGTATTAGTCAGGGGATCTGCATTAGCAGCAGAGCAAAGAAAAGCTAAAAGCGAGATTGATGGGAGCTTCAGGGAAGAAATGGGTTTATGAAAAGCAACACCACGAGAGAGACTTTAACAAAGAAACGTAGAGGTACACTGATAAGAAAGAGAGATGAGGATGACAGAAAAGGTTTAGCTTTGTTTTCATGTATGATATGCAACTAAGGTTAAAGATTTTAAATGGCAAAAAATGAAATGCGTGCAAGTGTGGGTACTGATTTTCTTTATTTTTCTTTAACAAATGGTAGGTATCCAGACATTGATTGTGACCCTGATTAAAGAGATTAAAGGCAGTATAATCAAGGGAAATCACTGTCTGAGCTGGATGCACACTGTCCGTAGTGGTGTTAGGTTTTGTTATCTTCTGCTGTTGCAAACAAACCCTTTGCAGCTTAATTGGATCGAGTGGGAACCAATTTTGATCTCTCAAGAAACCAAGACTTGCTTGAAATGAATTCATTTTTTAATCTTCTCTCTTATTTTCTTCTTTCCTTTGTGGAGCCTTATAATAACCTTGTTATTGCTGCTTTATTATTATTATTTTTAAATATATTCAATGCCACAAACAGTAGTCTCCAGTCTGGATTTAAAGGTATTAATTTGAACATGCAAGTAATGACATGTTCTAGCGTTGCCATTTTGCTACGTGTTACTGATTGTGCTCCATCAGTCGTCTGTGTTTTCTATCCGATTGTTTATTATTTACACATTTCCCCTTTTCCTTGTGTCTGTTCTTTTCAGGCAAACAGAGGATCTGTCTGATCATACTGAACCAGCCGCTGGATAAGGACCACCTACATATCCTCTGGAGTAAAGGTACATTTCTCACACATCACAAATATAGATCAGACAACAGACAAGCCCCTTTTACAGCACTTATATCACATTTGCATTGATTTGCACCGAACATGTATTCCCCAGTTGTTTTTTGTCATACTGTGCTCTCTAGTCTGTGTAGCCTTCACTCTGCCATGTCACTTCCCCACTCTCTGCCTTTTCCTTTCTGCTTTCTGCATTGGTACCATTTTATTTATTTTTTTGATTACTTCTTTAGCTGAATTAGTTAAACAGTTATTACAATCACAACAAAATTTGTTTTTAAAAAAAGGGCATTTCCATTATGAATGAACTGGTGGACAGTAAATTATTCAAAAATAAATTTAACTATTGTTAATTTCAGTAATGGAATTTCTGGCAGTAATTATGTCTGATATTAAGGAGCACGGATACAGGCAAGGGATGTCACTTGGGCAGGGATAGCTCAGTAGGTAAAGTGGTCGCCCCATGATCGGAAGGTCGGCGGTTTGAATCCACTTAACGGCTACCCTGAGGTACTCCTGAGCAAGGTACCGTCCCTACACACTGCTCCCCGGGCGCCTGCTTAGTGGGCTGCCCACTGCTTCACTGAGTGAATGGGTCAAATGCAGAGAAAAACAAGTAATTTCCCCATGGGGATCAATAAAGTATCCATTATTATTATTATTATTATTATTATTATTATTATTATTGTAACCCAGTTGTGAGTGTTGATTTGTGTCTGACTGCTTTTCTGTTCCGTTCTCTCCTCTCTTTGTCACTGTCTGTTTGCATGAGAGTGGGGCTGTGCTCTTCAGACACACAGAGGGTAACTTGAGAGCAGAAAAGCAATACAGACTTTAGTGCAAAACTTAGTTGAGCTGAAGACTATTATGCTCACTATCGCTAAGTACTACAATGGCTGTCATTTCTTAAATACCTGTGATCAAACAAGAACATATGCACATCAGCCACAACACCTGCCTAACCTTGTGAAGGTGTCTAGCTTGGTCTGGTGGAGCCCTCACATTTGGTGGCTGGTTTGATAGTGCCTTGGATTCTGGCATGGATGTTTGTCTGGCGCTCCATGCAGGATCTTGCATGAGGTTTGATCAAGTGAGGTTGATTTAAGAGAAAGGTGGTGGATCAGCCCAAAACTACACAGGCCAAGCTTGTTAATGACCTGAAAGCAGTTGGGACCAGAGTCACCAAGAACATTACTGATGATACACTATGCTAATGGTTTGAAACTTACAGTGCCTGCAAGTCCCCCCTGCTCAAGAAGCCTTTGGAGCACTAGAAATGCCAAGTATGACCCAAAGAGCACCATCCCCAAAGTCAAGCATGGAGGAGGAAACACTATGCATCTGGGCTTTTGGCTTAATTGGATCGAGTGACCAATGGATAAAAACATCTTTTCCTCAGCCAGAAAATGAATGTTGTAATTTACAGCATAACCGGAATCCCATTTTAACTGCATGCTCCAACCTTCTACGTAACCTGAAGTGCACCTGCGATAAAATGTAACTACATGTCAGGTCAACGGATACCTTGTCTTGAATGGGGTGGAAGATTGCAGTGTAGGGATGGCAGCAGTTTCTCGTTACTATGCAAGTCTGGATGTATATTTCCCTTAGAAGTCTAAATCAAGCTTTACAATGACCCAAAAGCAATTCCTTTGTTGCCAAGCCAGCAAAGGAGTGACTAAAGAAGAAGTGCAATTAGATCATAGAGTGGCCTAGCCAGTCTCGAGACATCAGTCCTATAGAAAACCTGTGGAGATACCAGGATCTTCAAATTGCCAAGCAGCAGCCAAGAAACCTAAAAGATTTAGAGAAATTCTGCAAAGTGCCTAAATCCATCATGAGATTGAGACAGTGACCAACTGCAAGAAACATCTCATATCTGTTTGCCAACAAAGGCTTTTCCACCAAGTACTAAGTCTTGTTTTTCTTGAGGATAAAATGCTTTTTTCATAAAAAATCAATGTATAACTTATATGTAATGTATTTTTTCCCCTGGATTCTCGATTGATATTCCATATGTCTCCATTAAAATTAAACTACAATAAAAATTAGAGATTGTGTCTTTGGAAGTGAGCAAACATGCAAAGTCAGCAGAGGAATAAATAAGTATTTCTCAATTACACTGAACAAAAATATAAACGCAACACCTTTGTTACTGCTCCCATTCCCCATGGGATGGACGTAGAGACCTAAAATTCATTCCAGATACACAATATAACCATCCAAATCAGTCCAAATGTGTGGTAGTGGGCACATCTGCTATATTGAGATAATCCATCCCACCTCACAGGTGTGCCACATCAGGATGCTGATCTGACATCATGAGTAGTGCACAGGTGTACCTCAGACTGCCCACAACAAAAGGCCACCCTGGAATGTGCAGTTTTGTCTCACAGCAAAATGCCACAGATGCCACAAGCAATGAGGGAGCGTGCAATTGGCATGCTGACAGCAGGAATGTCAACCAGATCTGTCGCCCGTGCATTGAATGTTCATTTCTCAACCATAAGCCGTCTCCACAGGCGTTTCAGAGAATATGGCAGCACATCCAACCGGCCTCACAACCGCAGACCTCGTGTAACCACACCAGCCCAGGACCTCCACATCCAGCAGGTTCACCTCCAAGATCGTCTGAGACCAGCCACCCAGACAGCTGCTGGAACAATTGGTTTGCCCAACCAAACAATTTCTGCACAAACTGTCAGAAACTCAGGGACGCTCAACTGCATGCCCGTCGTCCTCATCGGGGTCTTGACCTGACTCCAGCTCGTCGCCGTAACAGACTTGTGTGGGCAAATGCTCACATTCGATGGCGTCTGGCACGTTGGAGAGGTGTGCGCTTCACGGATAAATCATGGTTCACATTGTTCAGGGCAGATGGCAGCTGAGAATGTCCCAGTTCTTGCATGGCCAGCATACTCACCGGACATGTCACCCATTGAGCATGTTCGGGATGTGCTTGACCGGCGTATACGACAGCGTGTACCAGTTCCCACGAATATCCAACAACCTCGCACAGCCATTGAAGTGGAGTGGACCAACATTCCACAGGCCACAATTGACAATTTGATAGACTCCATGCGACGATGTGTTGCACTGCATGAGGCAAATGGTGGTCACACCAGATACTGACCGGTTCTGGGTCCCCAGACCCCCAATAGCGCAAAAAACTGCACATTCCAGGGTGGCCTTTTGTTGTGGGCAGTCTGAGGTACACCTGTGCACTACTCATGATGTCAGATCAGCATCCTGATGTGGCACACCTGTGAGGTGGGATGGATTATCTCAATATAGCAGATGTGCCCACTACCACACATTTGGACTGATTTGTGACCACTGTTTGGGAGGGATGGTTATATTGTGTATCTGGAATGAATTTTAGGTCTCTACGTCCATCCCATGGGGAATGGGAGCAGTAACAAAGGTGTTGCGTTTACATTTTTGTTGAGTGTATATACTCATAACCAAAGACCAGGATACCACTTGGAGATTCCAAGTAGGCTAGATACTCTGAAGTGTTGCTTGGTGCATGCGTGCACACAAAGTCAGAGCCTTACCCTGTAGGATATATATGCTTATTAAAAGGCAAGTAAGGTCTGGTTATTTGTCTGTACAGTCCAGACTGTAAATTACAAAGAAATGGGTGAAAGGCAGGTACACCCTGGACTGGTCGCCAGTCTATCACTAGGCCTGCAATGTGAGTACGTGAATCCTGTGGTGTTTTTCATCAATGACAAGATGTTAGTATGAGTACAGAGCATTGTCAAATGTGAAATTCTAAAAGGCCATTCATTTAGGGAACTGCCATTCTATATCACCCTAAAGGTTTTCTCACTCCTGTGAAAATCTTGCTTACACATATAATATTTGCAAATAACTCAAACTTCTGTGAAAAGGGCAGAAAATTTAATGCAGAATGGGCTGTACAATCCTATTCAAACACAGAGTAGTTGCACAGTACAAGCTCACTGAATGGCTCCACTTTAGCACACTCAGAAAAGCAGTTATGGCCAAGGGCATTTTGATCGTTGTTGTTGAAGATGAGTAGAATTGTGCTCAGTCACTTTCACATCAGCAACCTGCTGGTCACAAGTTTGCTGGTAGTTTATGGACCAAGGAAATCTCTTAGATTCCAGCCACTTCCTTGTGGTAACTAGGGGACATGCGAGGACGCCATGAATAGTCTGAGTCACTTTATCAGAGTATAAAACAAAAAGAAACTCAGAAAATATGTGTGTAAGAATTAGTCGTTAAAAGATTAAAAATAGATTAAAAATAGATTTTTGAACAAAAGTAGAGCTTCAGACTCCCTAAGGTGTTGTTTATTAGATGCATTGATGCATAGAGTTATGCTAGCTGACTGTGATGTATTAAATATTAAATATATAAACCAGGCAGTGTCATGATAACCTACATCCTATAGCTTTGTTTATTTATTTTTCTTTTTAATCACTGATCAAAAACAGCACCGCTCTGAACTAGAATAACTTTAAAATTCTCATTTATTTGAGCTGGATCACTGGTTTTCCCTCAGTTTTGATGATCACCTGAAAATACAATAAAACTGTACGCTAATATATGAAATAATGTAATTAGCAAACTTACGCAGTCATGGAGGAATGTTAGTAAACAAAATAACTTTGAAGGCAAACGTGTGATTGAAACCACTTCAGGTGGAATTTTAATGAACGTGGCTTTGATATTCTTATCAACTTAGCAAAAACCCAAGAGGCACCTCCGCTTTATCCATCGCACAGCAGCTGTATAGTAAGAAATATGTTGCTCGCTTGATTTTTGCTTTTGCATAAGAGAACCTGTGAAAAGTGTTTAATAACACAAGACAAACCAATCTTCCTGATGAGATTTCACACCAAAACCTGCCTGCTACCCAACATGATGAAGATTGCTTTTCTTTTCTTTTTGTTTCTTTTTTTTTTTTGGGTGGGTGGGGGTCTTGAGGGAGAAGATAAGATGATTAGGTAAATGCATAACAAA